GTAGACCACGAAGTCTTGCCAGGAGGAGGCGGGGCAGGGTGGTGTATGATCCGAAGGGCCCGGAGTGACTGACGGACTGTCACCGTGTGTGTGCCTCGATGTCGGTGTGTGACTCCGTGCCCGAATGTCACTTGGAACTTGGTGCAACTGTCAGCTAACGTGACTGCTTGTGTCAGTGTGCATGTAGCTAAGCCTGCATGTGGCCGTGCAATTATGTGTGTATCTGTCAATGCAGTTTTTGGTGAGATCGGATTGTGTGTTTGTGTATGTGAGAGGGACTGTGACCACATCATGGAATGTGTTTTGGGAGGGCTTCTGTGGGACTTAAGACTACCTGCCAGCGTGAGAGAGGGTGGCTGGGTTTGTGTGTGCCAGTGTGTGACTTCAGCAGTAGCACAGCAAGAGACTTGTGGTTATATGTGTGTCCTGTGCCCTAACTTAGACTGTGTGGGAGTGTAGCTGTGATCCTATATTGGGGAACCTAATTCAATAGCCAGTGGGACTGACCTTCCTCTTAGTGTCTAGCAGAGACAGACCGTCCCCAACACGTGCAGCTTCCCCTCCTTCCTCTGCTCAGGAATCCCCATCACTGCTCCTTATTTTGTTTCCCTGTCTGACTCAGTCTCCCTGTATTTCTTTTTCTCTCCTTGTTACTATCTTCCCAGAGATCTCTCTCTCTCTGTCTCTTCCCAGTTTTGTCTCTGCAGGTATCTCTGTGTATCTGCTTTTTCAGTTCTACCTCTCATGCTCTCTGTCCCTCTCTGTGTCCCTGTGCCTGACTCCCCGGTTTACCCTTGTTTCTTTGGCTACCCGGGGGCTGAAACAGTGATGAGATGCGGACCTGCCACTGCATAGAGCTTCCTGGGAGAGGGGGCTTAAACTATGATGAGGAGTTGCTTTTAGGGAGTGCTGTGTTTACCCTTGTTTCTTTGGCTACCCGGGGGCTGAAACAGTGATGAGATGCGGACCTGCCACTACATAGAGCTTCCTGGGAGAGGGGGCTTAAACTATGATGAGGAGTTGCTTTTAGGGAGTGCTGTGAGCCCATCCCAGGGGCAGTGCGTGTGTGTGTGTGTGTGTGTCTTTGTGAGTGTATAAAGATGTGTAAATGTGAGGATGTCTGAGTGTATTGGTGTGGCTGCGAGTGACTGTATCTGACTAGGAGTGAGAGTCTGAGGGTAAATGTGGCTCTTGTGTATCTGGCACCAAGGGACCAAAGGCATTTCCTGGTGCTGGGGTCCAAAGAGTAGAGGGGGAAGTGAGAAATGGCTGGAACTTCCAGGGGAGAGGTAACTGGACTCTGTGGCCTCTCCTTATATCCCCCAGCCTGGGCCTCTCTTCCCCTCCAAACACAGCCAGCTGTGCCCTAAGGAAACATTTGCTGGGGAGTGAAAGGATTGGGGGCATGAGTCTGCATCAGATTTTTCCCTTGCTTGTGTCCACGTGTGTTCAGGGGAGTGTCTTTTTGTTAACCTTGCCTTGTGAGTCCAGGCGTGAATGTGGCTGTGTTTGGCTGCATGAAAACACAAGGAATCTCTCACTGACAGAACATGAGCATAAGCAACCCTCCTCTCCCTCTTGCTGGCCCAATCTGTGTCTGTGGCTTCCTTTCCAGACTGGGGGGAGGCCTCTTCCCTTCTCAGGGCCTCGAGTGGGAGGGGAGGAAGGAGCGGGGAGGGGGCCTGGCTAGGGGTGGCTGAGCTCTGGGGCCCAGAGGGGGCGGGGCAGGGAAGGGAAAGAGGGGATGGTTCTGGGGTCCCATAACTGAGTGGAGCAGGCGACGGTGCTGTAGCTGGTGGAAGGAAGTCCTGGAGGCCATGGACAGTCAGCCACTGGGATCACCGAGGTAGGGCGGGGCCAAGCAGGGTAAATGGGGGGCTGGGGTGAGCCAACTAGACACACTTGGACAGACACGTGGAGGCTCCTGCTCTGTTCTACTGCTGAGGGGTCCGTGCCCTTCCTCTTCTGGAGCTCTCACCCAGGGCCCTCTCCCCATCTGCCTCTTCATTTCCCATGGCCATTTCCCACTGCCTTCCTCTTCCTCCTCCCCACAATCCAGAATCCTTCTCTACTAGGACCCCCAAATCCCCATATACACACACTGTTAGCTCCTTCTCTCTGAGTTTTTGAGTTCATGCTGTCCCCAGCCCAGCCCTCACCTCATTGAGCCCCCATTGCCTCCAGTCCTGATCTCTGAGTACCTCTTGGTGCTGTGGCCCCCACGCCAGGCCCCTGTCCCTGCAAGCTCCCAGCTCCTCTCACTCTCCCCTTCTCTCCCCTCCCCGCCACCCTGTCTCCATCTCCATCTGCTGGCTCCTCGCCCACCCCCAGCCTCTGGCAGCAGCCAGGGCATCTGGTTCCGCTTAACTCCGCAGCCCCAGCCCGCCCCCTAGCTTCATCCAGCCTCACAGGCTTGAGACCAACAAGTTTTCAGAGCCAAGCCCCGTTGAGTGGCCGTAGTAGTCAGAACAAGGAGCTGGGCCCAGGCGAGAGGCTTGGCAACCAGAGCAGGGCTAAGTCTCATGGTGGAAGCACAGGGTGGGCAGACCCACGATGACAGCCCCCCACCCTAGGGTGATAAGATCTGCCCCAGGTTAGTCAGAGGCAGTGATTAGCCCTGGGCTAGGTGGGGGTAAACACCAGAATTCTCAACAGCTAGATTGGAGGGGTTAATGGGAGTGGTTGAGCCAGTGCCAGCACTTGGTGCCAGGGGTGGGCGCCAAGGGCAGTGGGGGGAGGGGTGGTTGCTGGCACAGTCTGTTGCCTCTGGCTTTTGTTCTGGGCCCTAAGCCCAGGACTGAGATGGAGGGAGTGGGGGGTGTGTGTGTGTGTCTGTGTGTGCACATGCGTGCACAGCACTGGCCGTATGGTGGGAAAGGGGACCTCAGGTCAGATCCCCCAATGATTTCTGATAGCCTTGCCCCATTTGGTGCTTAAGTTTTCCTACTAGGAAGCCCATTTTGGAGAGGAGATGCCAGGTTTTAGCCTCCCATCTCAGGGGTGGGGTATCCCTGACCCTGCCTCTCTCCCCACAGATGAGCAGCAGCTGCTCAGGGCTGAGCAGGGTCCTCGTGGCCGTGGCTACAGCCCTGGTGTCTGCCTCCTCCCCTTGCCTCCAGGCCTGGGGCCCCCCAGGTGAGAAGAACCCTGCTTTGTGACCCCCAAGTCTGACATATGACTTGCTACCCTCACTGTGGCCCCTTCCCATGCCTAACTTGTGACCTCCCCACCCCTGACACCCAGACTGGGTCCCCTCTTTACCCTTTCCTCTGGCCTCTGTCTGCAGATTATAACATGATGCTTTGACTCAGTGACCCCCACTCAGGGCTTAACAGTCTGCTCCTTACCCAGTTTCTCTCACAAAGTTGGGGGTTGGGGGTAAAGGAAGAGCCTCATCTCAGAAGTGCCCTCCACAGGGGTCCAGTATGGGCAACCTGGCAGGTCCGTGATGCTGTGTTGCCCTGGAGTGACTGCTGGGTAAGTGCTGCTCCCAACTGTTGGTCTGACACTCATGACCCTTTCTTAACCCTACCTGGTCCTCATGTTCCCTCCCATCCTTGCCTCCTTTGTCTGTAATCCTTACCTCTGTATCTGTCTTAACCCTCTAGCCATCCTTTTTTTCTTTTGCCTGCTTGCCAGTATAGGGATCCAAACCCTTGACCTTGGTGTTATTAATGCACAGCCTTAACCATCCTTATTCAATAGAAATTTCAACCAATATATATTGAGCACCTGCCCCATGCCTGGTCATATTCTAGGCTCTGGCATACAGCAGCATACAAGGCAGGCAAAGGCCTGCCCTCACAGAGCTTACATCCTAATGAGGAAGATAGACACTGAGCAAAAAAGAATTTTAACAGGTGGTAATACCTGCAGGACAAAAAATAAAAAGAGATACATGGAAGAGGATAACTGAGTGGTTACTTTTTACTGGTAATCAGGGAAGGTCTCTCTGAGGAGGTGACATTGAAGCTGATTTCTGAAGCTCAGGAAGGAGGCAGCCATGCACATATTAGGGTATAAGCATTCCCGACAGAGGGAACAGCTAGTGCAAATACCTTGAGGTGGGAATGTACTCAATACTCCTGGGGAACAGAAGGAAGACCCATGTGGCTGGAGTGCAGCGGGTGACGGGGAGAGGGAAGAGCTGAAGAAGGAGAGGAAGACAAGGACTAGATCACAAGGGGCTTTGTAAGACAGTGAATGGAATTTGGGTTTTATTTCAAGTGCAATTAGAAGCCAATGGAGAGCTGTGGCATGGTCTGACTTACACTTTAAATCTTCTCTCTGTCCATCACCACCTCATCTCACCTCCAGGACCCCGGTGTTCTGGTTTCGGGACGGGGAGCCAAGGCTGCTCCAGGGACCCGACTCTGGGCTAGGGAACGAACTGGTCCTGGCCCAGGTAGACAGCACTGACGAGGGCACATACACCTGCCGGACCCTGGATGGTGCACTTGTGGGCACGGTGACCCTGCAGCTGGGCTGTGAGTTGTGGAGGGTGACAGTGATGAGACATGGGGCTCCTGAGGGAATCTGGGACCTGAGTAAGTCCTCTGGAGTAGGGAGGACCTGGGGACTGCTCAGTCTCCAGCTGCACGCTCTGCTTCTAGACCCCCCAGCCCGCCCTGTTGTTTCCTGCCGAGCAGCTGACTATGAGAACTTCTCCTGCACTTGGAGTTCCAGCCAGGTCAGCGGTTTACCCACCCGCTACCTCACCTCCTACAGGTGTGTGCATGATTGGGTGTGCGTGACTATACATTTGGGTGTGCTGGCACAATGTGGGCATGAGAGGCAGGGTGGGAGGTTCTGAGGAAAGCCTCAGAGAGGGGAGAGGGCCCTTTTTTCCTTCCTGACCTCAGATGGCCCTCTCTCTACCAGGAAGAAGATGGTGCCAGGAGCTGATGGTCAGAGGTTAGACATTAGGGAGAGGTTGGGGGATCCAGCTGGGTCCCACAGTGGGCATTTCCAAAGCCCAAGACCACATTCTCCCTCCTAGGATGAGTCCATCCACAGGGCCTTGGCCATGTCCCCAGGACCCCCTAGGGACTGCCCGCTGTGTAGTCCATGGGGCAGAGTTCTGGAGCCAGTACCGGATTAATGTGACTGAGGTGAACCCACTGGGTGCCAGCACACGCCTGCTGGATGTAAGCTTGCAGAGCATCTGTGAGTACCCACCCGTAGACATCTCTTCAAATCCCCGCCATGGAGACCCCAAACCAGCTCAGGACCCGCCCCCCCTCCCCCCAGAGTCCACAAACAGTTCCCTTCCAACATAGACTCCATTTCACACACAGATGGCCCTGTGGAGACTAAAAGTGAAAAGGATCAGAGCCCAGGAGGCGGGGTTACCTCAGCACACACTCCAGAGGCTGTGGCTACTGCCCACAAGTCCTTCCTGGCTGCCTGGCCTCACATCTGACTGTCTGCTTCTAGGCCCTGTGCTGAAGGCAGTCATATCTCATGTCCTCCTTGCCAAGAGAAGTCACTGCTGGCCCCTCCTTCCTCTTGATTTGTGCATGGGAGGGGGGCGCTAAAACTCTGGCTGAAATTTGGGTCAATTCATTTTCCTTGGATGGAACACAGAATCTCTCTTTTCTTCAATCAACAAATATTTCAAAACCCCACCCCAGATCTCAGCTTATTTTATAAGGATGACAGACAGGTTCTGAGCCTGATGGATGATCAATCCTAAGATTTCCCCTCCCCTGCCGTAAGCACCTGGCTAAGGCGCCTTTAAGCACACACCTTGGAAAATGGTGGGGAAGGGATGGGTACCTGTGTCCTACCCTGACTTTGTGTCTGGTTGCCCTCAGTGCGTCCTGACCCACCCCAGGGGCTGAGGGTGGAGTCGGTAACCGGTTACCCCCGTCGCCTGCGTGCCAGCTGGACATACCCCGCCTCTTGGCCCCGCCAGCCCCACTTCCTGCTCAAGTTCCGGCTGCAGTACCGCCCAGCACAGCATCCTGCCTGGTCCACGGTGAGACCTGGAGCTGCATCCCAAATTGCTGCTGTGGTCCTGTTTCTGGTTTTGTGATCCTGGGTGTTCTGCATAGCTTCTTAGTGCCGGCAGGTCACTTATGACCTACACCTTCTCCTACAGAATGCTCCTCTCTCGTGAGCCAGGCTTTGTGCTGGGTGCTGGGGTTGCAGCGGGGAATGACAGACTGAGCCTTCTGGTTTTGTGATCCTGGGTGTTCTGCATAGCTTCTTAGTGCCGGCAGGTCACTTATGACCTACACCTTCTCCTACAGAATGCTCCCCTCTCGTGAGCCAGGCTTTGTGCTGGGTGCTGGGGTTGCAGCGGGGAATGACAGACTGAGCCTCTGCCCCGTGGGGCTGTTAATATGATTAAGCCCAACTGTGGGAAGACAGCAGTGGCTTTTAAAAAAATAACTTTTCTAGGAAAAGGAGTGCCTTTCACCCTGAGGTACATCTCCATACAAACACTCATATGCCCAGCTGAGTACAGTAGGGAATTCCCACCTGTGCAGATGTCAGATATTGGCTGGCATCAGGTCTGTGGAGTGGCAACATAAGATGATATTATTTATTTAGTGCTGTCTGCCTGCTGGGCACAGTGCTACACACTTACATACATTATCTTGTTTAAGTATATTCAACCCTATCTTACAAATGAAAAAAATGAAGCACAGAGAGACTCAAAGGTGCCTGAACCCAGGCAGTCTGGTGCCACAGCCCCTCTAAGTAATCACTATGTGCTACTGGCTTCCAAACACTAAGCGTAAACTGGACCACATCAGCCACCCAATTGTGAGAGCTAGATGGTTCCACTAGGCAGACAGGAACGGGACTTGGAGGGAGGGATGTTCTTTGTAGACTGGAGCTGGGTAGGCTCTGAGCTTACAACCTGGATAATGTGCCATCTTCACCTCCAGGTAGAGCCAGCTGGATTGGAGGAGGTGATCACCGATGCTGTGGCTGGGCTGCCCCATGCCGTGCGAGTTAGTGCCCGGGACTTTCTGGACGCTGGCACCTGGAGCGCCTGGAGCCCTGAGGCCTGGGGAACTCCGAGCACTGGTGAGAAGCAAAGCCAAACAAAAGAGCAGAGACCCTACCCCAAAGCATCTATCAGCTGGATGGGTTTGCTGAAGGCGGCCTGGTGACACATGCCCCACCCACACAAGCACAGCAATTGCTGTCCTAGGCTTCAGCCTCTGCTGCCTGCAGCCCTGCCCTGGCTTAAGCCCTGCCACTCAGCCTCCACCTCTGCAGTTACAGACTCTACTTCTACATGCTGTGTTCCCAGAAGCTGGCCCTGTCCGCAGGCCCTGGCCCTGGCCCCGTCCCTAGTGCTTGTGGACACTTATCTGGTCTTGCCTTACAGCAGGGCCCCTACTGAAGGACATACCAGCTGGGGGCCAGTTACACAAGCAGCTGGAGGCAGAGCCTCAGGCGGACAGCCCCACTCCTCCAAGGCCCTCCCTCCAGCCAGACCCGCAACCACTTGGTGAGCTTTGGTCAATGGGCAAAGGTTGTGGAAGCCGAAAAACCCCAGAGAGAAGGGGGCACTGAGCTTGGTTAGGCTCACTCTCTCAGTGACATGTGGCCCTCCCCCTCAGATCACAGGGACCCCCTGGAGCAGGTGGCTGTACTGGCATCTTTGGGAATCTTCTCTTTCCTGGGACTGGTGGCTGGGGCCCTGGCACTGGGGCTCTGGTAAGTGACTGCCATTGGTCCCTCTGCCTCTGATCCCCACAGACACTCTGATGCCCATAGACCGCATCCATCCCCACCCCTCATGACTTCCCATTTACTTCCCACTGAACCTGTCTGATTCTGGAAAAAACTTATCCTATCCCCATCCCCCACTCATTATTCTCACTGATTCCTCTCCTGACACTTTACTAATATACCCTCCCCACAGACACTCTGATGCCCATAGACTGCATCCATCCCCACCCCTCATGACTTCCCATTTACTTCCCACTGAACCTGTCTGATTCTGGAAAAAACTTATCCCATCCCCATCCCCCACTCATTATTCTCACTGATTCCTCTCCTGACACTTTACTAATATACCCTTTTGGAGGAAACTGAGATGCCCCACATTGTCAGGGAGACAGCTGCCTTTTTATGCCCCAGGCTGAGACTGAGACGGGGCGGGAAGGATGGACCCCAAAAGTCTGGGTTCTTGGCTCCAATGATTCCAGTGGACAAGCTTCCAGGTGAGTAGGACCTACTGAGGTTTGGACTCACAGATGTGTGCCCCCATTTTGAGAGTGTCTCAGTCAGGAGCTGAATGCCCTAGTTTTGAGGGTATTGAGAATCTAAGTTGTGTCTCCTCATTCTTATGATGTCTAGGCTGAGGGCTGGGTCTTTCATTCTTGAGCCCCTGGGCTCAGGAGTGGGTCTCTTCCCTTTCTCTCAGAGTGCTGGGCATCCTGGAAGGGCTCCCCTCCTTGTTTTCAGGGTGTCAGACTCAGAGCTGGATAGCCATCCTTTTTCTTGGGGTGTGTTGGATCAGCGATGGGTCCCACTCTTCATTGTTGATGTGCCTGGGCCCAGGACTAGGTCCCCTCCCTCATCTTCAGGGTGTTGAGTCTTCCTCAGAGTTGGACTCCTCTCTTCATTCTCAGGATGGTGGGCTCAAAACTGGGTCTCCTCCCTCATTCTCAGGGTGTCTGGGCCAAGATCCAGTTCTACTGTCTCTCCTGATTTGCCTTCTGCTTCTTCTAGGAACTCCAAATTTGTAGAGTACCCAGAGGACCCTGATTCCACCTATAACTCTGTCTTGCTGGTGTGGATGATGGACAGATAGTACCCAGGCAGGACAGTAGATCCCTATGGATGGGAGTCTAAGCTGGAAGTTCTGTTTGGAGCACATTTTTGTGAGACCCTGCATTCCAAACTTGACAGCTGAAAGGTGCCTGGATCTCTGATCTCATCCTGGAGCTGGAGGTCTGCCTGAAGAACGTCTAAGCTGGAAGTTCTGTTTGGAGCACATTTTTGTGAGACCCTGCATTCCAAACTTGCCAGCTGAAAGGTGCCTGGATCTCTGATCTCATCCTGGAGCTGGAGGTCTGCCTGAAGAACGTATATAGATGTGTATGTCTGTGTCCATGTGTGACCATGTGTATATGAGGTAGGAAACATGTTTTCTGCATGTATGTATGTATGTATGTATATAGGTGCCTGGGGAGTGTGTGTGTGGGAGTCCTTGGCTCTTGGCCTTGCCTTTGTGGGGCTTGTGGAGGTGCAAATAAAGAGAATGAGGAAATTCTTAGAGATCACACTCAGAGATTATTGTCCAATGCTGCTTTATTATTTTGGCTGTTGGGGGTGCCAGGTCATTTTCCCCAGCAGCCCAAAATTCAGGTTGGGGAGAGTCCCCTGGAGCCTTTTCCCTTGGTGCTCAATCCATCGAGCCAGGCTGTGGTTCTGGGGATGGATGCAGACGCTGCGTCGAGCCAGGTGAAGCCTGGGAAGGGAAAGGTCCAAAGCTATGATCATAGCTTGGGGATGAGGTTAGGGTCCAGGGGATAGGTGAAAGGGCTAGATGAAAACCTAAGTTGGTATCAGAATTAGCAGTTGGGGCTGGGGTTGGGGTTAGTATCGGGGTTGGGACTGAGGTCAGAGTCAGAGGTATCAGGGGTGGGGTCATAGCTCACACATAAGCCTGGAGGTGACAGTCTCCATCAGCCTCCTGCAGTTCCACCCGGATGACCTTCCTCAGCAGCTTGTTTGAGAGGTGCTGTCGGTAGAGCTGAGTACAGCAGGTAGTGCTGGGTGGCATTGGCAATGCTAGGGGACAATGGAACCACATGTTCAGAGGGGTCCTGCCCAGAACCTCTCTACCGGACAGCTGGAGGTTGGACTTCCCGACTTTTCCTTCATCCCATTCACCCAGGCTCCCAGCCTTCTATAACCCCAAGTACTCACCTGCTTCACGGTCTGGGCTCAGGAGCAGCAATAGCAGCAGGAGGCTGCTGTTAGAGGAGGGCCACTTCATGCTTCTCAGCCTAGTTATTCTCTTCTCTCTCTTCCTCCTCCCCTTTTATATGTGTGCCTGTTACCTGGGGCATCAGGTGAGTCAGAGGCAGGTGGAGATGTATTGTATCCTGTGACACTCTTGGCCTGTTGCCACAGACCCCTTCCTCTTCCAGGACTGCCATTTCCATGGTTCCTAAGCCCTGGGCAGAGAGCTGGGGGAAGGGGTGGTACATGATGTGGGTACTGATGGCACAGTGACTAAGGCAGCCAAGGATCCATAGTGGCATCCACTCATTTAACCACACATAGCCACACATTCACAGTCACACCTCAATGCTCGATCAACCTTACAAATCACACCCATGATCAGACAACTATAGACAAAATCATACAGCCCCAGTTATAGTGTAACTGGGAGTCCCATTCCCACATAGTTGTGTTTTCACACTCACAATCATACTAGCACACAGATTCTGTGGGGGAGTTGTGAGTGGGGAGGGAGCAGAAGGCGATCCAGCGTCAACTTGCCTTCATCTTCCCCTCCCCACTTCCTGCCCTGGCCTGCCTACCTGTCTTGTCAGGAGAAATTGATGGGAATGGGTCCCTAAAGCAGGCCATTCTGACTGAGAAGGGCTCTTGGCTGGGGCCAGCCACAGAAGCTGGTAGAAGGCCTTCTTTGGTAGTATTGCCGGTTTCTTGGAGATGCTGAGGTGGGGGCTGCTTTCCCCAGGGAGATGAGTCAGGGAGGAAAGGTGGGGTGGATGAGGAAGGAAGATAAAAGCTCTTTGGTGCCAGGTTGCTGTTATCAAAACAGGCAAAAGGCCCATGAAATCTTCTTTGCTTAGTCCTGTTCCAGGAATGCTAGTCTTTTGCCAGCCTGGGGTTTCCAGACTCAGTCCCTTGCTTGTTGGAGACATCAGAGCTCATTTACCCCTCTCTTGTTCTACTCAGATTCTAGCCTCTTTCCATTGTGGGCCTGGAGGAACATCCTCCTCACTCAGATTCAGTAATACTCTCAACTCCAACCCGTGCACCCTCAGCATCCCATCCTCTGGCTACAGCCGCAACCTCCCATCTCTTTCCTGTCCTTCTTTCCTAATCCCATACCTAGTGCTCACTCCCCTCTTTACCCCCTACCCAGCAAAGCAAAACTCCTATCCCTCATCCTGTCCTTCCCAGGAAGCTGGGAACTGTCTAGGGTGGGGCGGGGTGGGGGCATACTGCTGGGTTTAGTGCCCCTGGCTCCTTGAAGAATGTCCCACTTCTAGTTTGGGGATTTCAATTTTCAAGTCCTGCCCTCTTTTTGCATTATTTTTTATTTTATTTTATTTTATTTTGGCTGGCCGCTACAGGGGTCGAACCCTGGACCTTGGTGTTAGCAACTGAGCTGACCCGCCAGGAACCTGCTCTATATTTGAAATATAAACTGAGTCATCACCCAATAATTCAGCCCTTATCTGGTTGTTGTAGGGGTGCCTTTTTTTTTTGGTGGCTGGTCAGTACAGAGATCCAAACTCATGACCTTGGTGCTATAAAGCTGCAGGGGTGCCTTGTGCAGCCTTCTGCTCTGGGGCCAGCTACCCTCTGTCAGGCAGCCTTTCACTTGGGATAGGACTCACACCTCTGGGCAACCCTTTCTGCTGCAGGGCTGCTTCAACAATCAGGAGGTACTTCAGCTTACAAGTAGGAACTAGGCCCCCTCCAGGATGAAAACTCAAACCTCTCCTCCCTCCTGTGCAGCATGAAGCTTGAAGTCCCCTCCCTGGAGTTTGTCTTGGGGATATTCAGGTTTTCTTTTCTTTCTTTTTTTTTTTTTAAAGATGACTGGTAAGGTGATATTAACCCTTGACTTGGTGTTGTCAGCACCACACTCTCCCAAGTGAGGAAACCGGCCATCCCTATATAGGGAGCCGAACCCACGGCCTTGGTGTTATCAGCACCACACTCTCCCGAGTGAGACACAGGCTGGCCCTAAGGGATCTTCAGGTTTTCTGACAGCGTCCTGGTAAGGTGTGGGCCCAAGGCTGGACAGGGCAGTTCACATTTGGATGAGTATTTGATGTAGACAACGTGAGGAGATGGCTCAACATTTTGGGCATTTTTTTTTAAGGTGACCACAACCCAGAGGTCACTCATCTTGAACTTCTGTTACCAGAGACCTTTTTAAAGGTCCCTCTCCCACCCCCTGGTCTGGATTTGTGTCCTAGAGCTTGGGTGAAGCCATAGAGGGAATCCAGCTTTTTTTTAAGGTGACCACAACCCAGAGGTCACTCATCTTGAACTTCTGTTACCAGAGACCTTTTTTAAGGTCCCGCTCCCACCCCCTGGTCTGGATTTGTGTCCTAGAGCTTGGGTGAAGCCATAGAGGGAATCCAGAGGAAATTCCCTAGGTTCCATCATCTTGTCATAGACCTGAAGATTCCTAGAAGCTGCCTGACACAGGGGAGTAACCTGGGTTGAGGACCTTTCCTGCAGTTAAAACTCCAACTTGAAGATTCCTAGAAGCTGCCTGACACAGGGGAGTAACCTGGGTTGAGGACCTTTCCTGCAGTTAAAACTCCAACTTGAAGATTCCTAGAAGCTGCCTGACACAGGGGAGTAACCTGGGTTGAGGACCTTTCCTGCAGTTAAAACTCCAACTTGAAGATTCCTAGAAGCTGCCTGACACAGGGGAGTAACCTGGGTTGAGGACCTTTCCTGCAGTTAAAACTCCAACTTGAAGATTCCTAGAAGCTGCCTGACACAGGGGAGTAACCTGGGTTGAGGACCTTTCCTGCAGTTAAAACTCCAACTTGAAGATTCCTAGAAGCTGCCTGACACAGGGGAGTAACCTGGGTTGAGGACCTTTCCTGCAGTTAAAACTCCAACTTGAAGATTCCTAGAAGCTGCCTGACACAGGGGAGTAACCTGGGTTGAGGACCTTTCCTGCAGTTAAAACTCCAACTTGGTGATATTAACCCTTGACTTGGTGTTGTCAGCACCATGCTCAGCCAGTGAGCAAACCGGCCATCCCTATATAGGATGCGAACCCGTGGCCTTGGTGTTATCAGCACCGCACTCTACCGAGTGAGCCACGGGCCGGCCTTACTTCCTACACTTCTGGCTTAAAACGTTTTAGATCTATTTCCAGGAAAAGAAGATTCTGAAGACACCTGGCAAAGCCCTGGCAAGGAGGGCGATGGTAACAGAGCTGGGGTTGTAGGAACTCATCAACATGGAGATAAGGTTGAGAGGAAGATCAGGCTAGGATTATTTAGTCCTCTCCATATAGGCTAGTCACAGTGATGGGTGGGTTTTGGGTGGGGGGTAGGGTGGGGGGAGAGGGCAGTCGCTAATGGTACCAAGAGGCCTGACACTGATGAAGGTCCTTAGGAATAACTGGGCCTTGACATGGAAGGGCACCCTACTAGGGAGGGAGGTTCTGTCAGTAAGGAAACTGAGCCGGTGTGAAGAGGGGCTCCCAGCCCGAATGGTGGCTGCGGCGGCAGAGTCAGGAGGGCAGTACGGCGGGCTTCGGTTTAAATCTTTAATGTACCGGCTGGCTGGGCAGCTGCAGCGGGCGTGCGGCAGGGGAGGCCGCGACCCGAGCGCGGGGGGGCAGGGCCCAGGCCGCTGGACAGACAGCTCATCAGGCCCCGCAGAGGCTCCAGCTTCTGCTCCCGGGGGTGCGCCGAGCTGTGGGGCAACCCGACACTGGCATGAGGCGGGGCGGGGCGGGGCCTCCCGAATTCCACCCCTGATCCGTCCTCCGAGACTGAGCCTCGTTCGGGCCCCGGGCGGATCAGCTATATCGCAGGCCCCTCACCTCCGCTCCCTCCGCCACATGCGCAGCCAGGGGAAAAAGTAGAAACAGCCCCAGTAGATCCTGCAGAGAGAAGGTAAGGCCGGGCGGGGCGGGGCGGGGCTGACCCCACAGACCCCGCCCCCGGACAAGTCCTCCAGAAAGGCTCCGCCCCGCCCCCTAAAGGCGGTTCCCTTCATAGCCCACGCCCCTAAGAGGACCCGCCCCGCCACCCCTCTCGCCCTCAGAGCACTTGCACCCTTCCCCCACCCCGGGCCGCTTGGTCCCGCCTACGCAGAACCCCGCCTCCACTCACTCCTCCTCCGCCTCCAGCGCCACCTCGTATCGCCTCAATCCCGACATGTCCTGGGTTCCGAACGTCTCCTGGGGAGCGACATGATAGAATCAAGGATTCCCCAATCCCAGATCCCCCTGTCCGTCACTGTCAAGACGAATCTGACTATTTCTCAGGTAATGTGAGGCAGGTGCCCCCGGGAAGCCTCAATTGCCACATCGGGACAGGGAGAGATTGAAGATTTGGGAGGCACCAGAAATTAAGGGGTTAGGAGGTGGGTCATTTCTGGGGCCCGGGGTATTTAAGAAATCAGGGCGAGAGGTTTGGCGGTCATGGGGCTAGGAGATTTGGGGCTCTGGGTGAGGATTTTCAGGAGTTGGGGTCACCTGGAGGGGGCAGAGGAGTCGGCGCAGCCTAAACTCCCGCCCTCCCTGGCTCCTCCCCGGAAACAGACCGTTACCATTACGTCACAGGGACTCCACCGCGCACTAGGGTGGGGCTTGCCTATCACCCGGAAGGGGTGGAGTCAGCATACGTCTCAGAGGTGGCGGGAGTCAAGAAAGGGGCGGAGACGGGGTTTATTAAGATGCGGCGCAGAGAACCCTCTTTTATAGCGATGGAATCAAATTTTTGAGCTACACACTTGGAGGCTGAGGCCTCAGCACCAAGCGGCAAGAAAAGACCTTTGGGACTGTGTTCAGTACTGTTTTCCCAACCCCCCCTCCCCCACTACCCTTCCATAGCTTCTTCCCTGCCTGTCACCTTTCTTGCCTGGCACACTCCCCTTGTATGACCCCCCAGGTTGAGGAAGAATAGGCCCCTGGAGAGAAACCAGTTTACAACAGGCCAGGCTATGGAAATACTTGTTGGCTTAGTGGCCTTGGCTAAGTCACTTAATGGCCAGAGGGTCATAGCCCTTCCTCTCTGAGCTGAGATTTTTTTTCTAGTCATTCAATCAACAGATATTTACTGAGTGTCTGCTACGTGCCAGCCCTGTTCTAGGCATGAAGATATAACGGTAAATAAGACACCTCTGATAGGGACAGCATCTAGAAGCACTCAGGATGGTCCAGCGTCTGACATATGGTCATAGGCTTTCCTACAATACAGCTTCTAACAAAACTAGACTGTCCCGAACCCCTGGTGATAGAGTCATTTACCTTTATACCAAGAAAGTTGGGAAAGCACCAAAATCTGCATGTGGAGTGTGTCCAGGCAGGCTTCGAGGGGTTTGTTCTGTGAAACCTAAAGTTCTTATGAGGTTATCTAAAATGAAAAAACATGTCAGCAGGGCCTGTGGTGGCTCCATGTGTGCTAAATGTGTCTGTGACAGGATCAAGTGTGCTTTTCTTATTGAAGATCAGAAGATCATTGTGAAGTGTCAAAGGCACAAGCACAGAGTCAGAAAGCTAAATTTAAAAATGAAGCTTTTTTGAGTAATTAAAAAATCAAAAGGCAAAAAAAAAAAAGACAAGACAGTCTCCACCCTCACAGAGGTTATCACCTGGGAATGGAGGTGGGGGCGGGTCAAAAGAGATCAGACCGTTACAAATCACTTCCCCCAGCAAGCTGACTGGGGGAAGGAGAGGTTCTGCAGTAGCACCAAGAAAGGGCAGTTAACCCAATGTGGGAGGCTGGAAATAGCTACCCCAGACCTCTGACATCCCAGCCGAGTACTGAGCCAGAGTTGTTTTGGGGAGTGGGGAAGAGAGCCTTGTGGCTAGACTGACTGTATGGGAGAGTGACCAGAAATGAGTGAAGTGAAAGTTTTCTTAGGCTGAAATGTGAGGAATGGACACCTCTCCCCTCTTCCCTGTACCACCCTCTTTCTCCCTCTCATACCCATCTTTCCCTGTCTGAGTCACATACAGACAGCAGACAGACAGATCTGTGGGAACCAGGTGGCTTTATTGGAAGCATGGCAGTCTGGGCGTGGAGGAGCTGTGCTACCTCTGCACACACCCTCTCACTCACACACGCACTCACACTCACATTGACACTCCAGGCTCTGCCCTGGTTGGGTCAGGTCTGGTGCAGAGGAGCTGGAGGCCTGGTGCTGCCTTCTGTCCTTGTGGTTCTCCAGGCTAGGGTGAGGCACATCTCTTCACTCAGATGCAGGGCTCCCTCTGGCACTGTCATAAGTTAACTGCTTTGGGTGTTTGCTCTGGGAGAGGAAGGAGAGCAGGGTCATGGGCTTGGAGGGAGGAGGCAGGGCTGGGGAGGGCCAGGCTTGCCTTGGCAGAGGTCTTCTGCAGTCTCCGGATGATGTGGCCCACCTGGAGCTGGTCTGGGGGTGCACAGAGCTGGCGGCCCCTCAGTGTGGTGAACTTAGAGTCAGAGGTCAGCGAGAAGGGAGCCCTGAAACTCAGCTTCCTAGAAGGCCTTTGCATGAGGGGCAGAAGCTGGGGACCATGTCTTAGAACTTGGTTTAGGGGCTTCCTTGTGGGAGGGGCTGAATAAGGAGAGGGGAGGGGGTGTAAGATGGTGAGGGGAGGCCCGAATGATAGAGGAAGTGGTTGAGAAGGGAGGAGCCTGGACACTGTCCACTCCCAACTCACAAGACAAGGTACCTGCAGCCATCTTTGAGGAAGAGATTGCCAAAAACACCAAAAATGTTCCCTGGACCTGGGTGTTTGTTTACTAAGGCAGAGTCCTCAGAGTTGTTGACGCCACTCAGGGCTGGTGGGGTGGGTGTTAGTGTTTGGGCTTAAAGGACTCTAAGGAGGAAAGACTACAGCCCTGAGTGGAATTCAGGATGTCTGTGTCCAGTGCCATAGCTTTAGTGTCGCTCTCTCCTCTACCCAAGCACACCGTCCTATTCTCCCTCTGGGAAACTGAGGCTAGATGAGACAGAAGAGCAGCCAGAGACTCCAGGACACATCCAGGCAATGACACATATAGGAACACCTGGGGCATAAGCACATCACCACCCTGTAGGTGTACACACAGGACACAGGCATAGCCACACCACACAGGCACGTGCATAGACTGCACAGGAAACACAGAATGAACCAGTATAGCCATGTCACACACGGACATACAATCACCACAAGGGCACACCCGTTTGGCACATGTACATTCTCACGTTTTACTCACATACAGATGTTGACGTGAAGTCACAGTCTCCTTCACGACTTCCTGAGGTCTGTGCACTGATCCCTCACCTCACCATTTAAGCCATGCTACATTTTACCCGCTCCTGGCAAGAAGATCAGTATGCTGAGGAGTGATGCCACACAGGAGGCCATGGAGGACGGACAGAGATGGACAGAGGGGTAGAGTCCCTGGGAGCAGCAAGTGTGTGCGGGTGTGCAGGAGTTCTTCTGCTTGTGTGAAGTCTGTGTGTGAGGCTGGATGGAGGAGAGTGAGCAGGAGAGTGATCCTGAGGGTAGGGGAGTCTTTGGAAGACTGTGAGGGCCTGGTGAGTATGTGTGTGGGAGACTGTGGCTGTTTTATTTATGGCCCCTTGATGCTTTCTTGGTGACTGGCCATTATAGGGATGGAACCCTGGACCTTGGTGCTATCAGCACCAAGCTCTAACCAACTGTTATAACTGGCCAGCCTTAAACTTTCATTTTCTTTCTTTCTTATTAGCCATATTGATAAGGAATTCAGGTTTGGGAAGGAGAAGCTTGTTTTTGTTTTAGGACATAGCACTTTAAATGGAGACAGGGAGACAGGATGAAAAGAGAAAAAGGGAGGCAGTTTAAGCATTTATAGGACAATATCACAGAGTGTTGATAATGCAAAATTCTGGAGAATAGGGAGAGGGAGGGCCATGTCCCACCCTGAGACCTGGGGACAGGGAGACAGGATGAAAAGAGAAAAAGGGAGGCAGTTTAAGCATTTACAGGACAATATCACAGAGTATTGATAATGCAAAATTCTGGAGAATAGGGAGAGGGAGGGCCATGTCCCACCCTGAGACCTGGGGTCTGTATGTGACCTTATCTAGCCACAGCTGCACCCCATATGGGTTGCATGAGTTTTACAAAATCATTTTTTTCCTTTTTGCATCTGCTTTCCTTGCTGTAAAAATAAACTTGTCTAAATCTCGTTTGCCTCACCAGGTTGTTCTGAAGTCCACAGAGACAGCAGTGCCACATGCCGAATGGCACTTGTGTGAGGCCTGCAGTGGCGAATTACATCGGAGCCCTGCGCTCCTGGAACACCTTAAGGGTCAAGCGTCCTCCTACTCCGTGTTCGAAAAAGGGCTCACTGCGAAGCATGCCCATGCCCCTAGGGCCTGGGTGAGACTCAGAGATACCCACGACAGGGTCGGACTGCTCGTCCCCGCTGAGCAATCAGAGCACAATGCTTGCTAGCCCACCCTTGGCTCGGTTTCTTGCCTTCTCCAGGCCTGGGCCCCTAGTGCTCAGCCCGGCCTCAGTCCAGCAGCTGGCTCCATGGCCCAATCCATGCCTCTGAAGAGAGCCCTCCGCCCCCGCGGCCCCCGGGCATGAAGCCTCCCTGACCCGACCCTTTCCATGCAGATGCCCGCAGCCCTGGATGTGCTCCCGGCTGGCCGTGGTGCAGGCCTGGACCACCGCGCCCAGCCCGCCTGCCCAGTGGGCCTGGGGTAGCTGCGCCTGCTTGTGCTACTGGAAGGTGCGTGTGGGCCAGGGGCTCACTGAGCCAACAGGAGATGTACCCTCCCGGGCCCGGGCCCTGCGCACTTGTTGGGCCTGCTCCGCCAGGCCTGCCCCACTGGCACTGCTTGAAGCTTTCATTTTCTACGTCCAGAGATTTCCTCCCCTCTGGTGTATAATAAATATTTTTATTGGTCTTTTCCCTTCCTTCTGATGTATAATGAAGAAATTGATTGGCCTTTGTCCCTGGTTCCTGAGAGGGAGACTAAACCTTTGGAATTTCCTTAGTAATAGGAGTGTCTTTGTTTTTCATAAGCCCCTTGGATCACACCTGAGCTTATGTGAAGAGATATGACTCAGGATGGAGACTGGTCACCATAAAGAGCAACCCATGTGATTTGAGGGTAGGGACTTTGAACAAGCTCGACTTCTGGGGAGGGGACAGGGGCTAGAGATTGCATTCAGGCAGGTGGCCAACAATTCAATTATGCCCACTTAGTGAAATCTTAATAAACACTCTGGACACCGAAACTCATAGAACTTTCTGGTTGGTGAACACATTGATGTGCCATGACGGTGACAGACACTATCTCTCCATGGGGAAAGAGTATGGAACTTCTGCATTTGGAACCTCCAAGACTTGATCCTATGTGTGCATATAACAATACCTGAAACTGGGTAATATTATAAAGGAATGAAATCTATTTCTTACAGCTTTGGAGGCTGGGAAGTCCAAAG